TCGCAGAATGAGCCATTGTCAAAATCTTCTTATTTATCTTCTCCTTTGTGTCTTTAGGAAACTTGTTTTTTCCCTCCAACACAGCCGCACATCCTTGTTGAACCAGACTTGCCCTCATCTTGACCTTCCACAGTGTGAAGTCATTCAACATATTAAACTTCTCCAGATCAAACTTATACGAGGACATGTTCAATCAATCAGATGTGGCTCTGATACCACTTGTTATGAGAAAATGAGAAAGAAAACAAATAAAGAACACAGAGGTTTTACGTGGTTCGATGACGGTGTGTCGAACCGAAGAGATTTTATTATACTGATTCAAAGAATTTTACAATCATGTCATACAACTAGAAACCATACTTATCTATTTATAAGCACCCCAAAACACCCTAAACCCTAAGCCTATTTGTTATTAATTAAGATAAATCCAAAAGAAACCCGATCAATTGAAACAACCTTTTCGCTTTGATTTTGGGTCGGATAGACCGCTAAATCCAAGTCACGTTTAAACAAATACATATTCCAATAATTTGGTTTGAGTAAAAAAATTTGACTTAAATATATATACGGATCAATCCAAACTCAACAATTTAATCCGTTTAAAGTATTCAACTCAACACAAACCAATCCCGTGACTATTTGACAGGTTTCAATTCTTGACGAGTCTTTTAACATTTTGGATATGATTATTATTATTATTATTATTATAATTATTATTTTAACTTGATTTCCTCTTTTTAAACTTTGTTCACATGAAATTTCTTGATCCGAAATATTTTTGGGTCGAGGATAACAATATTAATATGAAATTGAGTGAATAATAATAATAATAATAATAATTGGCCAAAAGGAGGGATACCACAAAAAAACTTTGATAGGCATATTCTTTCTACAATTCAAAGTAACATTAGCCTTTGGAAAAACCAAGAGACATGATAACAAAATATATGTGGTATATACAAATTTTTTTTTTTTTTTTTTTCAAAATTTTCTTAAAAATCTATATATTTTTTCATATTTCAATACCTATTTTATCTCAAAATTATTTCAAAAAACAATTAGAAAATGTATACGACTTCCACTAATTTATACTTCTTACGTCCCATCCATTGTGTCCAAGTTATGACACACACGAGAATTTATAATAAATATAATTAAAAATATATTAGTAAAAATAATTATTTTATAATATAAATGATTATATATAAAAATTATGATAATTAATTAGTCTAATTAATTTTTTAAAAAAAAAATTATAAATTAAAAATTGAAAATAAGATTAAAGTCCGTAATCATTTTCTAAAATAAGAAAGTGATATGAAATGTGAGAGTAATAATATATAATTACTATTATTAGATGGAAAGGTAAAACATAATTCGATATTATTCTAAAATATCTGCATGTTTAGGATGTATGAATATAATGAGATTCGATTCTTTTGTAGAAGTAAAAGATGCCAATTGAAGTTATTACAAATAAACTTTTCTGTAAGAATATAGTATGTTCCCTAGATCTAAAAAAATATATACGATTCTATATTAATATTATCAAAAATATATATATATATATATAATATATAGTATATTTATTCAAAAAAATTAAATAATTAACATAAAATATCATTCATTTTATTATCTACATATTTCTCTATACTTAACATAAAAAAAAAATATGTAAAATTTGAAATATTATTTCATTTATCCCACATCTCTTGTCATGTACACGGTAGACATTAGATATAATTAATAAATAATTTTTAAAAAATATATTAGTAAAAATAATTATAATACAATACAAATAATTATACATTAAATCTCAGATAATTAAATAATTTAATCAATAAAAAGAATAATTTTTAAATCAAAAGAATTTGAGGATGAGAAAATACGCATTGGGGAGATACTTTTCACCCTATGCACATGCAATTCAACTCTCTAATAATGCTAATTGAAAATGAGATCATAAAAATACATACAATTGAAAAGAAATGGTAATTGTGACCGTGTTTACAAACATGTATTGAATGCTACGGCTAGAGCTGTTAAACGAATCGAGTAGCTCACGAGCCAAGCTCAACTAGGCTCATTTATCTCTGTAAACGAGCCGAGCTCGAGCTCGAAATTCTTTTTTTATATAAACGAGTCGAGCTCGACTCGCGAGTAGCTCAATTGAGCTCATTAATGATAATATATTTATATTATTTATATATTAATACAATATAGTATATAATTTTTATATCAAAATTTACATTCATTATTAAAATTTGAATATTTTATTATAAAAAATTATGAATAAAATTAAATATATTTGATTTATATATTAAAAAATATTTAGAATATACATAAAATTAAAACCGAGCTCGAACTCGAGTTTTACGAGCCGAGCTCGAGCTTGAATTTGAACCTAACGAGTCGAGCTCGAGCCACTATTTTGGCTCGAACTCTTAACGAGCCGAGTCAAGCATGAACCGTAAACAAATTCGAGTCAAGCTCAAACAACCACTACTCGAGCTCGCTTGGCTCGTTTAACAGCTCTAACCACATCACAAACATGCATTTTTTTTAGAGATATAACTGAAGAAAACGTAGTTATATGCTACAATTTTTTTTAATAGAATTTATGAGTTACTTATTAATAATGAAATCAGAGTCAATAATGATTCAGTACAAAAAGAATAGACAAATAATAACTTTACCAAGGAAATATATGTAATTAGTAATCACCAAATCTAAACACTATTAATTTATATATATATATATATATAAAATAAAAAAATATATGTTTCAACAAACCTCAATATAATCAAACCTAGTGATGTTCTAACAAAGTAACAATCACACCATCCTATTATCATAAAATTTGGAAACTTAAAAAACATTCTACAACTTTCCCATCCAAAATCTTCAAATATATATGAAATTATCCCCAAAAAGCAATCAATACAAAGAAAATTTCACTATTCATCTTACATAGTTCCCAATAAAAATGCATTTTTTTTTTACAAAATATCACATCAAAATACTGTTTAAACCAAAACTCAAATCGTCGCACTAATTTCAAATCAAAGCCAAACAAACACTAATCTTTGGCACAATTACTCAATATCACACAAAGTCTCCTCTCATTTCACCTTCTTCATATATGCCTTTCTTTTTCTCTACTCTATACCCAACTCAATCCAAAAACAAATTAAATTAAACACATAATACATTAATCATAAAGTATACGATTATCGATAAATATTGCTAAATACTTACAAACTACTAAATTTTTTCTTATGCACATTAGGACAGCAAAATGTTCTTTACAAGTATATTTCACCAAATATATATATATATATATATAACGCATATATAATTGAACTCAAACACATGAGGTATATAAAAACAACATAACTTTGAAATATAAACTTACCACATATCGTATGAATCAACAACACATGTATTCATTCAAGCCATGTGGTGAGAACCTGTACATTTAAATTTCAATAATATCAAATGAGATGTAAAACAACCAACTTTATATATCCAATAATAACTAAGTGCAGTGTTGTCATAGCGTCGCCATGGCGGGCCCATAGTGTTCCGGCGCTTTATGGAAAGCGTCATAACACATCGCCACGCCATATTAAGAAAGTTTGTTGGAGATGCTTTTGCAACGCCGTAACAACGCCATGGCGCTGTCCAGGTTAGCCCAAAACATTGAGTCCCCAAACCACACTTACCTCAACCCCTAAACCCTTGAGCCCGATCGAACCTTAACTCACCATCATTTCCCTATCTGCAACTTCATTTTGCTATTTCATCCCACCACTTCGTTCGCCACTTCTTTCGACCGAATGTTTTTATTTAGAGATTTAGACTTCCAATATTTTAATGACTTCAAGCGTTCTAGATTCATACTCCACTCAGAATGCACTCTAGTAATGTTATTTTTTTTTTATACTACGGCAGTATTAGTTTATTGCATTATTATTTATTATTTATTGTATGGTTATTTATTACTCCCTCCGTCTCACTTGTTTTCTCCGGTTTACCGTAGCCACAAAAATTTAAGTAAAATATAATTAGTAAGTAATTAAGAAGTATATTAATAAAAATAATTATTGTATTATAAAACTAATTATAAATTAAAATCAAGATAACTAAATAGTATAATTAAAATTAAAAATATTATAAATTATGAAATTTAAAATGTAATTAAAGTGTACAATTATATTTCCTAAAAAGAAAATGACAAATAAGGTAGAACGGACAAAAATAGAAATAATTAACAAAAAAAGTGGGACGGAAGGAGTGTTTATTATTTATTTTTATTGCCTAGTTATTTAGTATTTAATACTTATAACACATAATACATATATATATAACCTGTACACATTGTATCGCGTTCGCTATTTTGTCGCCATGGTTGTACGGCAGTCCACAGGCTTTGTGCCGCAAAAGGGCTCCGTGACAACCTTGACTAAGTGAGTTATAAAATCATCCAATTCTATGATCATTATCTTATATACACATAGGGTGTGTTTGGCAATTAGCTATAGTTGTTAGCTAATTCGATTAGCTATTTACTGTTAGCTAATTCAATTAGTTGTTTGTATTAAAACTTTTGGTAAAATAGCGGTTTGTTTATACATAAAATGATAATTAAGGACATTTTATATTTTATTTTCAAAATATTTAGTTGAATTTTTTCGGTGGGTAGACTTTTTTAGAATTTTATTATTAATTTTAAAAATTAGAAAAAGTTTTATTAAGATATTTATTTTTATTATTTTTAAAATATTTTGTAAAAAATTAATGCAAGCTTGTTGAAAAATATTTTTTTTCATTAGAATTAGTATAAATATAAAAGAACAAAAACCATTAGTATATGTACTTTTATTATATTAATTTTTAATTAATATATGTTTACATTAAATTTATAATTTTAAATAAATATATTCATTTGAAATAAAAATATTATGTGATAAAAAATACTACATAAATGAATCAATAATATTAATATTTTTATATACAACTCCTTCAAAATTAGCTTTTTAAACTCAATAAGTTAATTAAAAACGATAATTTACCAAACACCAAAATTAACTGGCTTACTGGTCAAGCAGCTAAAATCTACACAATAAGCTAAAAACTCTTGAAAAAATCGTTTACCAAATCTCATAGTCTAATGATTTGGGAGCAATTAAGTGAATGAATGTCAAGATCTACCTTCACATTTAATAAGAAATTATGGTCGAATATGGTAGTTAATTCTTTTAAAGTTCTATTTTTAACTTTGGAAATCCATCTGCCCATAAACACTCCACCCCGATACCTTTAAACAACCTTGCCTGTTACCTGTTGCAGAGCATCATCTTAAGATTGTCCCAACAATCTCAATAGCCGATTGTCGAGGCACTGAGGGAGTTAGGTTTTGGACGATGAAACACTCCCCAGAGGTAGTCCTTTCCTTTCCAGTCTGCAAGATATCAATAAATTTGAAAGTAAATATTGTTGAGTCTCAAACATTTGATGAACTGTAAATAAACAATCGAAATAAAAAGGACATGAGATATATTGACTGATAGAGAAGGCAGAATGGAAACAGTAATCACAAGTCAACATAGATATGTTATTCACCACATTGAAATTATATACAATTCTTGCAACCAAATGATTTTGTCAGCGAGAGAACCAAGATGGCAATATTTCATAAAATGTAAAGCTTCAGGCACCATATTAACCGGAAAACTACTCATTTATAAACCAGAATCCGTAGATTATTGCTGACGAAAGACATTCTGGTTCTATGAAACAAGAATGAAACTTGAAGTTCATGAATTTGAAAGTAGAAATATGTCCCAAAAAATTAGCAGTGCGCAGACATAAGGATATAAAAAACTCACATTGGTGATCCACAGGCAGAAGTTTGGAAGTGAAGACAAAAAGTTCTATGTCACCAATTTGTTTCCTCAATGCCAAGTTTTCTTCATTCAAGATTTCCAGAAAGGAAACAAAATCAGTGGACCTACAAGTGCAAAGGCATGCTCCTCAGTGTCCAAAAAGCTCATCAAACAAATTAAATAGGAAGTGCTTTCTTACAGCTCCTGAACAGAAAAGGGAGACACACCTCTCCACTTCACGGGAAAAGAAATACAGTCCAATGTCTCTTATATCTGGAAAATAGCCCTGAAAAAAATAGACCCAGAACTTTTTGCAGGAAACCAATTCAAAGTCAAGCACTGCAGGCATTTTCCTTGAGAATTCATACACCATTTTACGAACTCGGGAAGGACAATGAGCACGGACATGAAGAATCAGTTCCCGGTTTCTAAAATTATGGATGTTGAACCTTCCTCTGGTAAATGAAGGGGGAAAATCTGTTAAATATAATGTTCGACAAAAAGCTGTAAAGAACTAATATTAACATATTCCATATAAGAATCATCATGGAATCAATATGAAAAGCAAAAATAAATTTTGGCCAAAACTTGTCATTAACTGAGAAAGCTGCTATAATGTTGTGTATTGATCATAGGATATCAACAAATAACTCTCTTCCTGCTCGACATTAAGGCCCAAGGAAATATAATATAAATAACTTTACAACTTGCATACTAACTGATCCTCATGCTATGGTCAGTTGAGGTTAAAAAACAATGAAATATAATTAGAATCAGAAAGTTCGAGTGCACATGCATAACATAATTAGTCATTGTTAGATAGAATGGTGAGGAAAGTGAACTGAGGCTGGAGCGATGAGAAATTTTACAGAAGATTAAGCGAACTTCTATCCTAGAGAGAGATGGGAGAAACTAGGAAATAAAATATAACTTCACATTTGCCGACTTTGTCCATGATATAACTTTGCATTCACTGAGAAAGAGGGCGTGTCAGAGATCTTTGCGTTTAATTTGATTATTGATAATAATTATACAGTCAAAATAGAAGTTTGGTAATACAACAGATGCTTACAGCCATGCGGCGCCCAAAGAAGGTGTGTATGCATGTGCGTTGTCATCAGGCAAAAGATTTTTGTCCAGATTTCCGGTATTAGAGGTCCTGAGCTCAATAGAATTGCCACCATTACCACCTGAAAAAAAAAATAAAAAAAAAATAAATAAATAAATAAAAAATTGGCTTGTTATTTGTGCTTTCAAAAATGTTTTGCACTATCCAATATGCGATTTTCCCTAAAAAATTACATCCAACAAATATTCACCTAAGAAGCATCAAACCCAAAATGCCAAAACAAAACCAATACACAAGTAAACACGAGTATGCAACAGTATCAAAATCATCATTCAATATGTAATGGAGTAAAATTCACACTTAAGAAAATCTTAAACCTTTAGGCATAAAAGAAAATGGCAGACAGTGATAATGGTATTATGCACATCTCATTCTCGATTTTGCGTAGTTTGAATTCTTAATAATTCAAATTTCATTGTGAATTTTCCAGATACCAGACTAAGGGCACACATAATTTATAACCAAGAAATGTTTTCCGATATATAATATTTGTAATCCCTCTTGTTTTATATATTAAGCTGCAGCACAAAGCCAGAGGTCACAGAGAGAGTCATGGGACAATTTTCTGGTTTGTTGACCACAATATATCACAAGGCAGCTGTACAATTTCCTAAAACATTTCCTCTGGTGTGCATCTTAAATTCAGATGCACATTCCTCAAAACTGTCATAGTTCAAATAAAGCATGAATTGCTCAACCGTATGTATTCTACAGCTTCAATCTTACATTTTGTTTCTTAGGTCAAAGGATGTATAAACCACAAACATGGAAAACGTTCATGCACCCATCTCCTGTATCATATACATAAAGTTGATGCAAATAAAATCAATCACCTGAAAGTTTATCGACTTTTTTCCCTTTAAACGTCCCCGGATTATCAAACCTTAGAGTCTTGAGTTTTTCATTGGGTCTTGAACGAGAAGCCCCCTGGAATGAGAATATACGCATTCAGTTATAGGCATACTAAGAGATCTCTCATATTTCATAAGCACTTCCAAACAAGGGTTTAGTGGGAAGTAACCTTTGAATTGAGAATAGAGTTACTGGCTCCGGATGAGAGTAGAATTGCTTCTTCAGGACAGATGTATTTAGTCTTTCCTGGTTTGACCTTTCCCAAAGCGAATGAAACCTTCTTCCTCTGTAAATCCAACGATCCTTTCTTTTCTACACTCTTTGCTTTATCATTAGGCACATCTAAGGTGTTGGATAATTTTGAAACGCTGGGCAACTGTTCAGATGATGCTTCAGATAATACTTGAGATCTTGATTCACAATCCTCACAAATCCAGTCGACACGTTCCATAAGAGGAGTTTTCATGCAATACCTAGATCAGTATTAAACACATTTATGCTGTGAATAATAGAAATACAATAGGAAAACTAAACAAAAAATGACATAATATTCAAGTACAGTAGGACACGCATAGTCTCATGCAATGTTTTAAAATTTGGAATAAGAAACAGGCATTTGACAATGTCAATGCTAGAACACCTTTGCTTTCCTTTTCATTTATTGAATTAAAAGACGTGAATGGGTACATAACAAACGAAAATAACATTAAGATGGTGATGAGCACACAAAAAACACTTCACAGAGAGAGAGAGAGAGCTCACATGTGCTCACAATTAATCTTACACTGGCTGCAGAAGATTATGGCTTCTTTAACACCAATGTTGCCACAAATGTCACAGCACAGTTCCTACAGGTAGATACATGTCATTATGCACATCACCAGAGAGATAAGATAAAGTCTTATTAATTAAAATTAAAAAATAATAACTACAAGTTACAACTCCTAGTAAAACATAGATTACTGTTGCCAGCTATCCCTTATCTATGAAGCAAACTAAAGAACCATAACAATCTCTTTACCATCACAGTATTCAGGTATAATAAATAAAGGAAGGAAGCTTCATACAGTATTAAATAACTTGAAAAATAAAAGATCCTGACTACAATCATCTGATTGATGGTTTCAACAAGGAAATACAAGGTTCTTTCTTTTGTTACAGCAAGCTAGAAATTACATTTTTTAAGGGATATTGTAATACAGCATTGTTTAGTGCTTTTTATTTTGATTCTGACGATGTTCCTGATTTTTTCTTTTTTCTTTTTTTTTTTTTTTTGAAAAAAGGAATCTCAGAGGCACGATCATGGAACAACCCAAAAACTAATGAAACCTAGAAATGGTCAAACAATAACAGTGAATTCCAGTTATAAGAATAATCAAACAAGAAGCTATGCACTGTGCAACAATTCAAAGATGAAATCATATTAGTTTAAACTGCATTAATCATACAAAAACAAGAAGATATAAACATCTTTAAGCTTTTCTCCCTAAGGGATTAAAGTTGTATGTAAAGAAATGTATAAGAACCAGCTGAAGTCAGTTCTACTAACACCAGTTAACAGTGGGCCCTCCCGGAGAGGTCTCCTATGTCATATAGACACATGCATAGATGAGTAGATGAGTGTGTGTATATGTATATAGGTTTCTTATGTTAAGAAGTCACAATTCAATTCCATACATTTTGGTTTAACTCGACAGTACAAACCCGTCAATCGTATGCAAAATGTTTCACTTTAACAATGTCGCTTTAGTACCCCAAGTCATACAGATTATACTTGACCAAGGTCTCTATACCCTCAGTTGTTTCAGATTACTTTATTAACTTATTTGGACAGAAGCGCAAACCTAAGAATTTTTTATATCATCTAGACAATCTCAAAATAAAGAACTTTTCAAATTCTCTCCATTTTGACTTATTCCAAATCATTGAATCCAACTAAGAACTACAAGTGATTGCAGAAACTCATTTCAAACAAGATAAACATGAAAAAAAGATTACATTTCAACAACATGGGTTGATGATACAAAGGTTAATATCAAAAGAAAAAGCACATTTATATTAAGAAGTCTTTAGATAATAAGCACCCGAATGCAACAAAATCAATTAACTACTATCACCGAGGACCACGTCTCATGATACACTGCCACCCATAATTTGTTTTGGCGGCTTCTATTTAATTTATACCCAATAGAAACATGCCTTGTTTCAACTAAAAATGATTCCTATAGCACAAATTTTAGTCGAAAACTAAAGTCACCAATCATTTACTACATAATCCCAGTCTGAAAACTCACTCATCATCTCACCTTTTCACAAACAATAACTCAAAATTTTCACAAAATCTCCCCCAAATTAACTATTCCCATTCAAACGGGTCAAAAATAATCGAAAAACACGCATGTACGGACGTACACAAATACCATACAAATCGCGGAGATTAAGAAACTGGAGGCGATTAAAATACTAGTAAAAAAACCAAGCACAATCTTCCAAAAGTTGCAACACTCACTACAAAGCACAATTTATTACTTCAACAATCAAAAACCACTGAACATCAATATTAAAAGTTAGATAAAGCGAATCAAAGTTACTTGATAGAGACAAAACTAAATATGCAAGAAACTAGGGTTTAAATAAGGGTTTTCTCGCAGGTCACCATTGTTGTGGGGTCTGGAGCCGCAAAAGCACTAGCTAAGCTTATGTCGTTGATTTCCGTGGCAAGCGTGGGCCTCAATTCCATACAAACTTACAGAAACAGTTCCGCACTCAGCGCTCCGCCTGCAATTGCAATGGCGAAGTGGAGGAAGAGACGCCTATGGCCCGCCTTGGCTTTGCTACAATGCGTTCTTCTGCACGATGAAAATATTTCCGTTGATAAATTGGGTTTGCTTGTTTGTACAAAATATACCAATTTTAATACTAATTTTTATTTTTGTATATTATACCAATTTTATTTTTTTTATTTTTAAATTATTTTTATACTACATTTGAAATACTATTATGATTATTTAGGTTGGAACCGTTTTAAATTTTAATAAAGATTCCTTCCTTTGGACATGATATACCAAAGAATTTATATTTTAATATTAAATTGTTGTAAGTAAACATAAAAGAGAGTACTATAAAAAATTTTATTAAATAATTAATAAAACAAATATAAAAAATAAAAAATTATGATAAATTAATTATTATTTATTAAAATAATATTAATAAACTTATAATTGAATAAAATTTTTATTATAAATAATTTGTAGATAAATTTAGTTGGACGAATAAAATAGTGAAATAATTTTGGTTGGCGGAGGAAATATAATCCTCCCCCGTTACGTGAAATTAGTCTACATTTTCTCTTTTCGTCGTCCCGTGAAATTAGTCATATTTTTTAATATAGTAATCATTAGTAAATACTAACTACAATTACAAATTTAATTATATTTTATTCAATTAGTAAAACCCCTAATTTTTATTGTTTGTTTTATTGTAAATTTAAAAGTATGGCTAGAATTTTGGATAATAAAAATTAATAAATATTCAGTATGATATAAATAAGTGTTTATGTGATGTCTAAAACTTTTAATTAATTTTTAATATAATATAAAAAATATTTAATTTGATATTTTACAATTGAAAATTAATTAATAATGAGATTTGATTCGTTAAAAAAAATTATTTATCACTATTATTTAGAGTGAAACATATCAATTTGTTCAAATAATTGAGGTACCGTACAAAAAAAAAAAAAAAAAAACTAAAGTGTCTAAATTTTTATATGATATGATACCGTATCGAACATTTTCAGTACGATAATTGTATATACTTTTAGCATTGTTGGTATAATATATACCGAAAATATCAATACGGTTTGATATTTTAGTATTTGATATATCAGTTTATATCAATAATTTAGTTTATTGATACTAAAATAATTAATATTCTAATATATTCTTAAAATTGTAAAATTGTTTTTAATTTTTATATTTTAGCGTAAAATATCATATCCTAATACTATATATGTAATTCGATTATAAATTATTCGATATTGTATTAAGATAATACTGAACCACATTGTATACCGTAGAGCCGTCAAAATGGATTGAGTCTGTCGGGTTGGCCCGCCCCACCTTACTTTTAGGGAGGGTTAGGTTGTGATTTCTTAAGCCGTTAAAATGTGGGCTTAAATGGGCCAACCCGCATGGGCCGCGGGTTGAGGGTGGATTAGCCCGCAGTGGGGCGAGTTAGCCCGCGGGTCAAGTAAATATAATTATTAGTACTTACTCGTCTAACTAAATGTATTTTTTTACCATTTTTTACTGTCATATTAAAAAATTATAATAAATTAATCAAATATTAATATAAGAATATATTTTAATTTTTTATAAATAACAAACATACTATTATAAATAAGTTAAGACGAATAAAATAAAATTTATATTATCATTACCTTAAATAAATTATCAATATTGTCTATACTATTGTTTTTCTTCTCTAACTATGTTATTCATGACATTGTTATTTATTTCGATTTTTTATTATTTGTTTTGTTCGTCTTCCATTTTATTATTTTATAATTTTACAAATTCATAAAATTAATTATGATTTATTTTTAATATGAAGTATTTCTTATTATTAATTTCTTTAAATACACCAATTAATAATATTTAGAATTGAGAATTTTTATAATTGTTATTTATTTTAAAATATTTATTATTTAAATTCTACAATAAAATTATTTTTAGCTATTTTTAAATATTAATTACGAAAATATTTATAATATTAATATTCTTTTAATATTTTAAAAAAACTCGTGGGTCAGCCCGCTTAGCTCGTCACCCGCCGGTGGGCTGGGTTGGGCTGATGAAATTTTGATCTGCCCCGCCGCAGGTTGGCCCACAAACAACCCGCTTATTTGCGGGTTAGGGTGGGTTGTGGGTCAATCCGTCCCCCTAACCCGTTTTGACAGGTCTAGTATACCGCACCGAATACAACCCGCTTATTTGCGAGTTATGGTGGGTTGTGGGCCAATCCGTCCCCCTAACCCGTTTTGACAGGTCTAGTATGCCGCACCGAATTTTTTGGTATATTAAAAAAATATCGATTCCGATGTGGGACTTGAGTTTGCACCCCAACAATCCCACTTTGGACTGAGCCGCACGGATTTGTTTTTGGATATTCTCCAAAAGGCTTCATACTAGTGGAGTTCACTTGGGACTTATAAGGTGTGAAATTTTCTTCACAACTTCCGATGTGGGACTTGGGTTTGCACCCCAACACCAACAATTAAATTCGAAAACTTTGATGTTTTGTTTATATAAAAATTTTAGTATTACGGCTGTTATTTTTGTATTTAAATTATTACAATTAATTTTTTTATCTAATGGCATAATTTACAATCAATATAATAAATAAAACATTAAATATAAATAAAATAAAATAAAATAAATATTTCAATTTTTATTTCAATATTTTATTAAATAAAAATAGTTAAAATAACATTTAGTACATATATTATATTAACTAATCACACTAATTAACTATATAAACCAAATTTTATTAAACTTCGCGCAAAAGAGAAACACGACTAATTTGGTGGGACGGAGGGAATATAATACTACCTTCGTCCAATTACGAAAAAAATTACAAAAATACTTCCATTAGTGATTATAATATTAATATAAACAAAAAATTATATAAATATAAAAGTATTTTTAATATTAAATACATCGATAACAGCTAAAATGTGACCTTAACAACAGACATGAGAAGTGTTAAAAAATATAAATTAAAGAGTGTGGTTACGAAAAGTATTACCTCTGTATCCTTCCCAAAGCGGTCATTTGTTTTTGTATACAGTGGATAGTAATATTTTATTGATGAGTGAAATTATATAAGAAAATTTGATATTTTTATTTTAAAAAAGTACAAATAAAATAATAATATTTTTGTAATTTATATAAAAAAAAATACTCACTTCGTCTCTTAACAATTTATTCATTTTTTCATTTTGCTCTGTCTCATAACAAAGTATCCATTTTCTTTTTTATTAATTGTACTATCTACCTAACATTATAAATATCTTTCCAATTTTCAATATATTACACAAATGTCATTATCTTTATATCATACAATACTAATATGGTTAATTTAATTTTTTTTACCTTTATTTCTATTTTATCCCAATATAATACTAATATTTCTAAAACTCAGTAAAAAAAAATATTTGAAATAAGACAGGAGAATATATTTTTTTTTGATAAGATAAAACAAAAAAGAGAAAAAACAGACATAACTTTAATAGATTGGAGAGAGGGAATATAACATTTGTGTGCCTAATCCAACAAAATCAAATTTAAAGAGAAAACAGAATTGATAGTAATATAAAGACATATCATTTATTATTTTGGATTGTATATTTTTCTTTTTTACTTAGATATTAATATATATATATAGTCACGATCAAAAAATTTGATTTGAACTTGGCATAAAAAAATCGTGTTTGAACTTTTAGAAATAAATTTGAAAAATTTCGGTCCGTGTCTGGTTCGACACGCTAATGAATTGGGCCGTGCACGAGTTTATAAAAGTTGAGGGCATGCCTAGCCCGACCCAGTTTATTAATATTAGTATTTAAAAATTAATATATTTATATGTGTATTAACTAATAAATTAATGGAAAAAATTGAACTATAATTTGATGATAAGATTATTGTTTTACTTATATTTGAACGTTGGATTGATTGTCACTTTCATTATTGATTAAAATTTTTATTAAATTAAAAATTTTAAATCGAGTCATGCCCGAACCTAACATTTTAGGTCCGATTATGAAAAAAAAAAAACGAATCAGCTTTGTCACCCCTATATATATATATATTATGCAGCAAAGACATGAGATGAACTTTTAAATTATTTGGTAGGTTGGATTGTAAAAAAAATATATATATATATATTTTTGTAAAAATAAAAAATAAATTAATTTCAAAGTACTAGACCTTAATATATAAATAGTCCTCTCTTAATATAATTTTATTTAAATGCACTCATTATTATTGAATATTTTACTTGTACGAATAGCGCGGAGGCTACAATGCTGAATAATATATATGTACTAACAAACAATACATGCACATTATTTATATTATATTAATATAAACATGAACTAACAATACATGATATAGTTCTACACAGTATATACAATAGTTAATATTATGTGACACTCCAGTCCGTAAGCCACGCGAAGCCCCATCCTCAAATTACCCTACCTCAATTACTTTAGAAAATCACGTTTAACTTTAGAGTTCTTTCGGTAGAGCTTCCGTAAATGAATATGCACATTGTTGACATGAGTAGTCTATTCAATGCATTTAACTTGTATTCAACCTCGAATGCCTGACACAAGCTCATCCACAGGAGTTGGCCTAGCACCGGTCAAACTCTGGGTATTATATTTTAGTACATGATATACTCTTATACAACACATAACTATGAACAAACATACATATTTTTATTACAAAGAACATATATTGTGTAATAAAAACATATGTCATCATTTCTATATTTTATGTGTGCTGATTTGAAAATTCACCCGCCTTTCCATACAAATACAATCCACCAAATCATCATAAACAACAAAATGGTAAAAAAACAAAAAACAAAAAACAAAACTATACAACCTAAAGATAAATCTGAGTAGATAAAATGTAGATTTTCGAACAAAAAAAAAAAAAAAAGAAGAAAATTCTTACATCATGGCTCCAATGGAGCAGGTTGAACTGTACTCTTCGAAAACTTTGCTTGCCTAAAGGAAAAAATCGATCTTTTCCCTTTACTACTGCAACCTTCATTCGACAATACAAATCCAACGTTGTTTTCTTTCTCACATAATAAATACATCAATTGAATATCGGGTGCCGAATCCATCGAAAACGACCTCCTTATCATCGTCTTCCCCACAAATTCTTCATCTTTCTTCCTATTCCCAATCCATTCATCGTCCATACTCCCAATCGCAAAGCTTTTATTTCTTCGATTATTCGTAACCTCGACCGAATCGAACATATCCTTAACTTCGGACAGCCCTGGATTGGCAGAATCTCCCTGCTCTGATCCCAATTCAATGACAATATGATCTTCATTTCTAAAATCGTCGTGAATTGGCGAAAGAATCCGATTATTGTCGATTCCGGCTGCAATGGTCGTCCGACGACAAAGCGGGCAATTGTTGTTTGTCTGAAGCCAAATGTCGATGCAATCGATGTGGTAAGAATGGCTGCAGGTCGGCATCACTCTAAGCTTATCATCTTTCACGAATTTGCTCAAACAAATGGCGCATTCTTTGCAGCTGATTCGATCGTTAATTCCGTCGAAAAGTGACGTCGGAATCGATCGAATTTCAGCCTCATTGAGCCCGCGGCTTTCCGCCGCCGCAGATGGGTCGATCGCCGCTGGGTCGCCGGAGATCGAAAACCGGCGGAGGAGGTCAATCCGGTGCCAATTCAGGCAACATTTGATAACGAAGATGTAGTAACTGATCAGCAGGACAGCTGTGGCCAAAATGCCGACGACGGCGACGGCGATGATCGGGAAATTGGCGTGCGAGGAGTGGAGATTTGGTCGGAAAAGTGACGTGGACGGGCTCTTTTCCGGCGGCTGAGGTTCGGATTTATTGCCGGATTGATTGTGGGTTGTGAGGTCCATTGAGGAATTTTTACAAACAGGTGGTGTGCAGGTTTTGTGAGGGTTTGGAAATTAGGGATTGGATTATTGATGTAAGAAATTATTGAATGTGGTGTGGGAAAATTGGTTAGAGAAGGAGAAGCTGTAGCGTAGAGGAGGGCCATTGTTGGAAGATTTAGGGTTAGATTTATGGTGTTTTGCTGTGCAGAAGACGAAGAAGACAGTAGTGAAATAATTTTTTTTTTTTTTTTAAATTAGGGAAAAATGGGTAGCGTATGAAATTTCTTCGTCTGCTTTTCAAGACTGCACATGATGCTGCTGAATATAATAACAATAATAAAATAATAATAATAATTATATCTCTCATCTCTTATTGTTTATTGTTTGTCATTTTTGTCCGTCTCAAATCAATAGACCCATTTTCATAAATAATCATATTACTATAAAATTATTTTTATTTCTTTTTATTATTACACAATTATCACTCCTTTTTACACGAATACACTCATAACGGCAAAAAAAATTTTTATCAGTATTTTTTACTATTATCAATATAATATCAATATTGTTTAAATTTCGTACCAAATTCAATTAAAACTATATTTATGTGAGGGAGGGAGTACTATATTTTAGTCTGTCTACTTATTAGGTCATCTTTTTTCAAAAAAAATTATACATTTTAATATAATTTTAAATATTTAATTTATAATTATTTTTCAATTTTATTTAAAGTAATAAGATATGTTACTCTTAATAATTATTTTTATATACGGAGTATAATTATTTTACCTAATATATTTTCAATTATTTATTAATTATATATTTTTTTTAAATTTCTATGCCTAAAGTAAAAAGAACACTATAATCAAAACGGATGGAGTAATAATAGTAATTATAATAATAATGGTAAATTATATTTCTTCCGTCCTAAAACTATAGTCTTAATTGGGTTAGACACAATATTGGTAAAAAGTATAGATAAAAGATTTTTTTGTCCTTGTGAGTATATTACTGTAAAAAGTAATAGTAATTGTGTAATAAAAATGAAAAAGTATGAGTAGTTTTATGGTGATATAATTATTTATGAAAATAAGAGTATTGTTTTAGAATTGACAAAAATGATAAACTAAACTATTATAGTGGAACTCTTATTAAACAAAATAAAACCAATGGTTTATTAGTATTTTTAGTAGAACGTTCTTTTATAAATATTAATTTTTTTTTTAAAAAAATACTATATATTTATACGGTAACACAATATAATATATATTTTACTAACTCAAAAGATCATCAATTTAATATATGATATTCCCTTATTTCGCTTATAAGGGTTCATTTAACTTTTGCGTTATTGTATTTAATATTAAAAATATTTTTATATTTATATGATTACTAGTATTAATAGACACTAATGAAAATATTTTTATAATTTTTTCTTAATTTATACTACATTTTAATATAATAATTAATATTTAAAATTCAATACGTCAAAAAAATAAATGAGACTATTAGAGCCAGATTTAGGTAGTATTATTTTTTATATTCTTAATACAATTTCTCATATATAATACTCCCTCTATTCAACAAAATTATTTACAAAGAAAGTATAATTAAATGCTTGTAAAAAAGCTTTTATAACAAATCGTGTGGGCAATTTTGATTTATTATTAGGAATTTTTTGTCTTTTTTGGATAACAAGGTAATTTTGAATTTCGGGATTTATTCGAAATGATTAATAATTTAGCTTCCAATAATCAAGTCGATTCTTTTTGGCAAACAGATAAAATATAAAAAATACATTCATTTAAAAACATATTTGAACAAACCCTAAAACTAATCTCTTATTTATTTATGTTTTTCATTCTTATTTTTATATCAAAAAATTACTGTAAAGTACATTCAGTATGTGTTTCTTTTTGGTATATACATAATTTTTTTTTCCTTTCAATAAATATCACATTAAATTATATTTAATAAAAAAAACTTAATATTTAAATTCAATTCAGACTAAATATATATATATATATTTGCTTAAAAACATTACAGCTAGTTTTTTTTTTAATGTCAAATTCTCCTTCGTACCCATTTATTATGTTTAGGTTACCGTAGATACGAAAATACATAATAAAATAAGTATAATTAATAAATAATTTAAAATATATTAATATAAATAATTATAAATTAAGATTAAAATAAGATTAAAATAAGTAATTAATGTAATTAAAATTTAAAAAATATATATAAATATAAAAATTTAAAATGAAATTAAGATTTGTAATCATTATAAAAAAAATGATATGAGATATTGAACGAATAGAAATAAAAATATAACCACAGAACAGAAGAAGTATTACTTATAATATTTAGATTTCATAAAAAAATAAAATAAATGAAAAATCCCTCCGAGGAATAAAATGCCCCAATAGTAATGACAACTTAAGGGTGTGTTTGTTTGGGGGATTGAATTTTAAATACATTATTCATTCTATTTTTTTTCCTCAAAAATATCAAATCAAACACCTAGTTTTTTATTTTTTATATTATACTAAAAATCAATTTTATATCCAAAATATCACATCAACACCTATTTATATCACATCATACAACTATTCAAATTCAAAATTTTTACTATTCAAATCCCAACTCAAAATCCAAACCTCCAAACAAACGCAAGAGTAAGTGATTATGAATTAAAAGAAAACACTTTTGGCAAGAAAAAGGAAACTATTATGATGAAAGGTGCAAGAAATGATAAAGTTTTTATTACAAAAGTATTTATTTGTAAAGAAATTAATTAAAGTCGAAATAAAATAATATGTGAAGAATGGTTACATTAACAAAGAATGGTTTAATTTCTTCAAGTAGCAAAGAAAATATGTAATATTGTTTTTACTACATTGAAAAAGAATCCTAAAATAGTTAATTAATTAAGGGTGTGTTTCTTTTGATGAGTTTGGAAAAAAATTGGTTTGACTTTGATATAAAAATAATATTTGATAGGAGACGAAAAAAATATTTTTATTTTTTCTGAAAAATTACAGAGTTTAAATAGTAAAATTTGGAAAAACTTTGCAAAAGAAACATACCTTAAATAACGTGAAGTGGCGAAGTATATATGTTTATATATATAATTTAAATTTAAATCATATTTAATTTAGTATTTTGTTTGAAATATTTTTATACTCTCACAGTCTCCTGAGAAGGGGGTCGATGTTTTTTTTTATTAATAGATTTGAATATTAATTAAGTATTATTTTAATATCTAAATACAAATTAAGAAAAAAATAAAAATAAAAATACTATTTATTAGTTTTTTATAATATAAATACAATGATATTTGCAGAGTAAATTATACAAATATAAAAATATTTTTCTAATATTAATTACAATAATATAAAAAGAAAAAAGACACATTTATTGTTGGACAACAGACAAAGATAGTTCTTATTGAAAAATATGATAATTAAACAGTACTTAGAAAATAAGTGATATATATATATAAAGAGAGCAAAATTTCATTGAAAAAATAATAATAATTGTAAATAAATTCTAATAAACTACAGATTAAATTCAAATAAAATAAATTACATTACTCAAGTCACATATAACATATAAAATGTAAAATGATCACGTATTTGAATCCACAAGTTCGCTACTATACCATATTTTACACTATACTCGTACTTGTTTGCATTTTTTTTTTTTCTGCATTATTCTCCCTAGTTCTATATCTATATATCCATTTGCTTTTTGCACGGAGTTTTAGAAATATTAGTATTATATTGGGATAAAGTAGAAATAAAGGTAAAAAGACTAAATTAACCCTGTTAGTATTGTATGATATAAAGGTAATGACATTTGTGTAATATATTATAAATTAGAAGGGTATTTGTAATGTTAGGTAGATAGTACAATTACTAAAAAAAGAAATGAATACTTTGTTATGGAACGAACTAGTTTAGGTTATATTTGCATTTTGTTTTTTCTTATTATGTTTGAAGTAATAAAATAATAAAGAGAAAGCACTTTCTTGCATGTATGTTGACTAGTGGAGAAAAGGATCACATGGGCATGACTTTTTTGGTGGGAAAATTTACAATAGTCAAAGTTTGGGTAGGCCTTGCCATGCTCTGCCCTGCCCTGCCCGCCACATACTATTAATTTACTTTCTGCACAAAAATTTTAAATTTTTAATACTTCTTCCGTCTAAAATAAGATGTGATAAACAGAGAAATATATATTTTATTTTTTTATTTGAATGATGTGAGGGGATAAAATGTGAGGTAGGGATTAAGTATAATTAATTATTTCCTATTTTGAAAATATTGCAAGGTATTTGGGACATACCAAAAAAGAAATGTTGCATGGTGTTTGGTGTTTGGGACGGAGAGAGTACTATAGTAGGAAAAAAATCATTTTTTGTTTCAAATATAATCAAAATTTATCAATTTTGGTCTCAATATTTTATCAATTTTGGTTCAAATATAACTAAAACTCATCATTTTTTGTCACAATATAAAAATTTTATCAATTTTAGTCCTAAATATAACCAAAACTCATCATTTTTTGTCCCAATTTTTTTGTTATATTGGGATTAAAATTGATAAAAATTTTATATTAAGACAAAAAATGACGAGTTTTGATTATATTGAGACCAAAATTAATCCCAATATAAAATTTTGCCATGCTCCATTCATTCCATAAAAAATGTAGTAACTATGTCCGGCTTTAAGGGTCTTATTTACTTTTGTAGGTTGATATTTGAATATTAACTATTATATCAAAATATACTACAAATTAAAAGAAGAATAATTTTATAAAAAAAAATTATACAAATATAAGAATATTTTTAATATTAAATACAATACAAAAAAATTAATGTGACACTTACAGATGAAGGAAATATTATTTTTTTTATTTTTATTCATGTCAAATCAAGAGCGTCATTTTTTAATATAATTATTATAATATCTACCTAACATAAAAAAATATCCTTACAATTTTAAAAATATTATGCAAATATCATTACTTTTATATTATCTAATACTAATAGAGGTATTTTTGTCTTTTTATTATAAACTTGTAAGTATTAATATTTAAAAATTTATGTGAAAAGTTTATGTAACGTTTATTAAAGTATAAGAGACGTCGTACAATTTTTAAAATATAAAAAAAAAATTGTATGCTCAATTTCAAAAATCATATTAGAATTATGGACAATTTTACCAAAAAAAAAATAAAA